GCCACTTTCAATGAAATAGAGTTTGATACTCCTGTGACCGAAGGAAACCAAAAGACCCATCAACCCCAGAATAAAAAATGGGAGTCATCTACAACATAGAGTGTAAGAACTGTAACAACCACTATGTAGGACAAACAATTTTAACTAAATTAATAATAATAATAATAATAATAATAATAATAATAATAATAATAACAACAACAACAACAACAATAACAATAACAATAACAATAACAACAGTAATAGCCCCAGATCTGCCAATATCTAGAAACAAGTAAAAGTAATAACTAGTCAGCACGGGTTTGTTAAAAACAGATCATGCCAAACCAATCTTATTTCAGTCTTCTACATAGTGACTACATTAGTAGACCAGTGAAATACTGTGGACATAATATACTTAGACTTCAGCAAGGCATTCAATAAAGTAGACCACAAACTACTTGGTAAGCTAGAAAAAAGAGGGATAGATAGCCTCACCATCAGATGGATTTGTAACTGGCTGACAAACTATACTCAACAAGAAGTCCTTAATTGTACTTCATCTACATGGAGGAAAGTAAGCAGTGGGGAACCACAAGGTTCTGTCTTAGACCTAGTACTCTTCAACATGTTCATAAATGATTTAGATGAGGGAACAGAAGGGGAACTTACTAAATTTACGGATGATACTAAGCTGGCAGGAATAGCCAACACCAGAGGTGGGATTCTCCCTGTTTGGACCAGTTCAGGTGAACCCTTTGTTCCAACGATCAGCTGGCTCCGAACCGGTTCTCCCCGACGAGTATGTGAGCCCACCCGCCTGTCCCTGCTCTTTCCTGTGCTTTAGGTCTTTTTATTAGAGCAGAGCTGATTTGCGCAGCAGAGCGGTTTGCCATGCTTCAGCATTAGCCTTTTTAAACGCGGAGCACGTGGATAGAGCGCAGAGCGCACAGTCACTGAACCAGTTGTTATACTGGTTGAATTGCACCCCCGGCCAACACCCTACATGAAAGGCTCAAGATCCAGATGGATCTTGACAGACTTGAACACTGGGCCCTATCTAACAAAATGAAATTCAATTTAGAGAAAAGTAAAGTCCTACACTTAGGCAAGAAAAACCAAAAATACAAATATAGACTGGGTGAAACCAGGCTTAATAGCAATAACTGTGACAGGGATTTTGGAGTCTTAATGGACAACCAATTAAATATAGTATGAACCAAAAGTGTGTGTTGGCAGCCAAAAAAGCCAATGATATCCTAAGTTGCATTAACAGAGGGATACAATCAAGATCAAGTGAGGTACTAATACCACTCTATAAAACCTTAGTAAGACCACATTTAGTGTACTGCATCCAGTTTTGGTCACTACACTATAAAAAAGATGTTGAGACTCTAGAAAGAGTGCAGAGAAGAGCAACCAAGATGATTAGGGGACTGGAGGCTAAAACATACAATGAACGATTGCAGGAACTGGGCATGACTAGTCTGGTAAAGAGAAGGACCAAGGGAGACATGATAGCAGTATTCTAATATTTGAGAGGCTGCCACAGAGAGGAAGGGGTCAAGCTATTTTATAAGGCACCCAAAGGTCAGACAAGGATGGGATAATGGGTGGAAACTGTTCAAGGAGAGATTAAACCTAAAAACAAGGATAAATTTTCTGACAGAATAATCAACCAACGGAACAACTTTCTTTCGGAAGTTTTGGGAGCTTCATCACTGGAAGCTTTCAAGAAGAGACTGGACTGATCTGTCAGTCTGATCTGTCTCCTGCTTAGAGGGGGGTTGGACTAGATGACCTACAAGATCCCTTCCAATTCTGTTAATCTGTTAAATCTGCTTTCAATAGACACATAGACATTTACAACTTCTAATATATGCAAAAGAGACAATCAACCAGCTAAAAAAAAGCAAAGACTCCAGCACCTCTTCATCAGTAATCAGCACCCATATCATCTTAGATTAACTCCAAGGTTAATCTAAGTTTTAATGGACAACAATCAAGCAAACAATTCCCCAATCAAGAAACTGCCAAAGAGCCATTAGTAAACTGCTCAACCAAAGAATCTCAAAGACCACCACCACCCATGTAGACAGGCAAGTCACAGAATATAAAATGACAGCAAACAGCACTCCTTCGTTGCACTGATGATGTTACCTAGGTTAGGGTAATGAAATATCTGCAAGAAAAACCCAGAGAGCACCAAGAACCCCTCAGTCCTGTAGTTGTTGCAATACAAAATATATTCCAACATGTATTCCAAGAAATTCGATAGCCATTCTTCTATAGTTATCTATATCCATCTCAGTTGCCAGTCATTTCCAAATTTTTCTTCCCCAGAGTTCTCCCAGTTGGATTTTAAAACAAAGAACTGATAACCATTTGTTTCCTTGATCTGAAATATTAATATTTTAAAATATTTTATTGTTTTAGTCCTGAAAATCACTCAAAGATTTCTGTTCAATAATTCTTATTTTGCTTCAATTTTGGCAGAAAGACTTAAAAAAGACTTAAATAATTTTATTCATCCAGATCAAAATGGATTTCTGCCAAAGAGACAAATCAAGGACAATATGAGAGTAATCCTGGACACTTTGGAATATTATGAGGCACACCCCGAAAAGCAAATGGCTTTGATATTCTTAGATGCCCAAAAGGCATTTGATAATGTGAATTGGAGATTTATGTTATTATTATTGGAACAGATGGGTTTTGCCAGAAAATTTATTCAAGCAATAGAAGCCATATACCATAAGCAAACGGCAAAGGTAATGATAGAGGGAGAATTCACAGACTCTATTAATATAAGAAAAGGTACAAGACAAGGATGCCCTCTATCACCTTTGCTATTTGTATTGACTTTGGAAGTGTTGAATAGAAATATTAGAGATGATAAAAGTATAAAAGGAATGAAAATTAAAAAGGAAGAATTTAAATTGCAAGCCTTTGCGGATGATCTGGCCTTTATTTTGGAAGACCCTTTAGAAACAGCTTCAAAATTATTGGAAAAGATAGAGACATATGGTGAGGTGGCAGGTTTGAAAATAAATAAAGATAAAACAAAGATTTTGACAAAGAATATGTTATTAAGACAAAGAGAAGAACTGGCAGACCTATTGAAAATTCAAGTTACGAATAAGGTCAAGTATTTGGGGATATATTTGACACCAAGATGTAGTACATTAAAAGAGAACAATTACATTAAACTTAAGCAACAGATAGCCTCAGACCTGATGAAATGGGAAAATCTACAATTGTCATTAATAGGGAGAATCTCAACAATCAAGATGAATATCCTACCCAGAATCTTATACTTGTTTCAAACAATACCAATTAGGCTTGGAAAAGACTATTTTGAAGATTTAAATAAAATTGTCTTGAAGCATATATGGCAAGGCAAGAAAGCGAGAATAAAGCTAAAACTTTTACAAGATGCCAGAATTAGAGGAAGTTTTGGTTTGCCTAATTGGGAATTGTACTATCAAGCTGCAAACTTGATGTGGGCCAAGGAATGGATAACACTAAGAAAGACTAGATTGTTGACATTAGAAGGACATGATTTGTTGTTGGGTTGGCATGCTTTTCTATGGTATAAGGGAACTAAAACACAGGGCTATTTTAGAAGACATCATATACGGGAGTCTTTGTGGTTGAATTGGGAGAAGATCAAAAGACAGTGTTATTTGAAAATTCCAGTTTGGTTATCGACCATTGAAGCATTTTCCTATCCTATAATTTATAAGAAGGAACAAACAGTTAGATATGGGGAGATACTGGATGAAAAGGGTGAACTTAAATCGATGCAAAACTTAGAGGAACAAGGTATAAAGATGAAATGGTTTTCATATGCGCAAATACATTCAAGGTATGATGAAGATTTGAAGACAGAGGGATTTTATGATAAATTGACTGATTTAGATAAGATTTTGACAAGTACTGATGAAAAGGTGATTAAAAAATTATATGGTTATTTACTGGAAATTAAATTAGAGGAAGAACAAGTTAAAGAAACTATGATTGCTTGGGGAAAGAATTTTGGATATGGGATTGATTTAGAGAAATGGCAAAAATTGTGGTCTCAAAATTATAAAATGACAATGTCAACAGCTTATAAAGAAAATTTGTATAAGATGTTTTACAGGTGGCACCTTCCCCCGACAAGAATAGCAAGAATGTTCAAGAATAAATCTGAAAAATGCTGGAAATGCCATCAGATACCTGGCTCATATTACCATATGTGGTGGACTTGTGAGGATGCTAGAAAATATTGGACTAAAATTCGCATGTGGTTGGAAAAAATGTCAAAGAAACATATAGACTTGAAACCAGAGATCTTTTTATTGGGAATCTTACCTGATACATATAGTAAAGATTTGAAATACCTGATTGTAAATGTATTAACAGCGGCTAGGATTGTATTTGCTAAAAACTGGAAAAATGAGAAAATACCATTGCAGGAAGAAATTATTAAGAAAATATTGGAATGTGCTGAAATGAGTAGATTGACATTTGAAATTAGAGAACAAGAGGATAAACAATTTTATGAAATTTGGGATCTTTTCTATCAATGGTTGGATGATAAAACACAATAAATAGAATATTTAGAATTTTAGATAATAATGAATATATAAAGAGACATTTTTTTCTTTTTTATTTGATATTATATTTATAAAATGTTTTTAGGATAGATTTGGTATGATTATATGATTTGTTATTAAATAAACTAAGTAAATTATAGTTATCTCGTAAAGCATGAATGAATAAAATTATAATCAAATGATTGTTTAATAATGATACTAGGGTATATAATTTTCGATTGATAATATGAGTCATTATGTAATGTAACTGTAATTGAGACTACGAAATGGATGCACAAAAAATTGGTAAACCAACCGACACAATGTTTGTATACTTATGGAAAAGTTGGATGTTTTTATGTTTTGTTTGTCTTGTTTGTCTTTAAAAACTAATAAAATTGTTTTTTAAAAATAATAATAATAATTCTTATTTTTACCTAGATGGGCAGAATGGCATCCAGGTTTTCCTTTGAACATAGATGCCAAATATAAGGAATTGCCTCGCAACATCCAATTTGACAGTGAAAAGGGAGTTGACTTTATCTTGAATTACACCAAAGCGTGAGTATAGTAACGACTCTCATATTAGGTTGAGACCATAGTTTGGTATTGAATCATTGAATCATAGCGCTAGAAGGGACCTCAGAGATCTTCTACTCCAACCCCCTACCCAAGGCAGGGTTCTGATACCATCCTGGACAAATGATTCTCCTATCTTTTCTTGAAAATGTCCTGCTGTGGAACACCCACAACTCTGGAAGACAAGCTGTTCCATTGAGTAATCGTTGTCATTGACAGGAAACTCCTCCTTATTTCCAGGTTGGATCTCTTTCTGACAAGATTCTACCCATAGCTTCTTGTTTTGCCATCAGATGCTATGGAGAGTAAATCCATCCCCTCTTTCCTGTAATAATCCTTCAGGTATAAAAATCTGCTATCAGGTCTCCCCTAAGCTCTCTCTTTACTTTCTGCTGTTTCAGTTTTTGAGAGAGGCACCCAGCCCTGTAGGATCAGTTCCTAACAGAGCCAGCCTCATGACAAACTCCTCTGATTTTGCAACAGGTTCTATTCTCAGATCCTGTAAAGTTTTTTTTAAAGAGCGTCTCCATTTTTTATGGAGGCTCCAATTGTTTGTGCAGTTTTGGAGCTTCCTTAAAAAATGGAAGCTCCTTTTAAAAAAAACTACAGTATTGCTAGAACAGGGGTATCAAACTGGATTTCTTCAAGGGCCAGATCAGCATTGTAGTTCTCCACGGGCCAGGGGGGAGGGGAGTGGGGGGGAGAGTCGGGACAGATGCCTCCTGCAGTACCCCGCTGGCCAAAACAAGGTGCAGGAGGCTGCATGCGCGCCCCCCCTGGTGCCTCATTTTTGGCCTCCCTGGCCTCCTGTAACACTCTCCTGGCTGAAAATGGGCAGTGCAGAAGCTCTGTGAGGCCCCTGCATGGCCCTTTTTCAGCCTTGCTGGCCTCCAACAACACTCTGTACCCCATGTACCCCATTTTCAGCACCCCCAGACTCCAGCAGCACTCTGCTAGCCAAAAACGAGCCTTGTGGGTGCCTTGCGGGGACCTTGCGGGGTCTCTGCATGACCCGTTTTCGGCCGGTAGAGTACTGCAAGAGGCAGTGGAGGCTGAAAACAGGATACGGGGGGCTCACATGTGCCCCCCATAGCCCATTTTAGCTGGCAAAGGCACTGCAGCCCAGTCCTTTGATATTTCCAGGCCAGCCCTGTGGGCCAGATTTAGCACCCCAGGGGCCGGATCCAGCCCGTGGGCCTTGATACCCCTATGCTAGAATGTTGCAAAATCGGAGGAGTTTGTCATGAGACTGGCTCTGTAAGGAACTAATCTTACAGGGCAGGGTGCCTCCCTCAGAAATTGAAACAACAGAAAGGTAATGTCAGGGAATTGCACAGCCAACGTCCAAATAGAGTCAGAGACACTGACAAGAACTTGTGGTTTTATATAAATAAATATATTTACAGTAAATAAGAGAGGCAAACAGGAGCATAATCAGGTAAATCAACACAGCAGGAATGTCATCAGGCAAATCATAGCATACAGGGCACACGGGGCAAACAGGCGGGAAACAAGGAAATAATGGAGCTCTATGCTGCATTAACATACAACATCAAGATCATGAGAAGTGATAGCATACACTACTAAGGCCATACTAGGAATATTGCATCCACCACAATATGAAAAAGATGCTGAAGCCCTAGAAAGAGTGCAGAGAAGAGCAACAAAGATAAGGTATCTGAAGGCTAAATGATACAACTGAGGGAAGGACAAGAAGCAATGGGTGGAAAATCATCAGAGGAAGATCAAAGCTGGAACTAAGAAGGAATTTTCTGATAGAACAATAAATCAGTAAAATAGCTTGCCTCGTGGAATTCTGGGTGCTCCATCATTGGAGAAAAGATTAGGCAACCATTGTCCAGGATGGTATAAGGACTCCTTCCTTGGGCAAGGGGTTGGACTAGAACACCTCTAAGTTCGCTTCCAGTCCTATGATTCTATGATACTTTTGTTTCTGACCTAAATTATTCTTTGCTTCAGCTCTACCCAACATGTTGCTGTCCCTGAGATAGTACCAAAATGGAATGCAATTCTTGTTGGGGGAATATTTTTTTACTTAATTAATTTAAAACATTTATATAGCTGCCCATCTTATACCCAAGTCTAGGATGCTCCTATCCTTGATTGAAATCCAAGACTACTTGTTTAGTTTAGTTCCAGAAAAGGAAAGGAGACTGCAGATTTTACTCCGCTAGTCATAACCGACTATAGAGGGTAGCGCTTATCTCAGTTTCAAGGGCCATTGAGGCAGTGCTGTCCAAAGATATTCCCTCAATCATGTGGCCAGCATGGCATTACAGAGCGCTATTTCCTCCCTATCAAAGTGGTACCTATTTATCTACTTGCATTTGCATGCTTTTGAACTGTTAAGTGGGCAGGATCTAGCTAAGACCAGAGCTTACTCCTTCACACAACAATCTGGTTTCATACCCCGGCTATTGGCTTTCCAGCCAACAAGCCCAGCATCTTAACTGCTGAGTCATCGCACTGTTCTGAAGTTCCAGACCTAAAGTAAAATTCATGATTCCTGTTGACTTACACTGGAAATCACAAATGGCTCTTAACATCAGCATGAAAATTTTAGTTTAAGCAGAAACTTAAAAAGAGACAAAGGTCGCCTGGTTTATTTAGATTTTGAAGCTTTTACATTCTAACAATTGACAAAACTAGATGAAATTTGCAAGCAAAAATCGTGATTTTTCCCGTGAGGATAATCTCTAGAACATTTCAGATAGGTTGAGGCATTAATGCAAGATGATCCTTACAAATTGGAGAAGATTCATTCATCCTCTCTTTTGCTGGTAGCATTTGTGAAAACAATAGAAATTGTTGCTTGCAAAAATTTTCCCGTACCTTTTGGAAAACAGGCTTCCTTTCCAAAATGGTCAGGAAAATAACACATTTTACTTTATATCTCTACTACTAGAATAGTTAGTAAACTGAGTATCAGAAGATTATATTTTATTGAGGAGTCGGCCCTAGGACAGTGGTGGCTAACCTTTTTGGGCTTCTTTGCCAAAAATTGTGTGCGTGGTTGCACGCTCGTGCTCATGTGCCAGCACCAAGAAGGCAATGCGCATCCACCCACGCTCCCTACGCATGCGCGTGCAATACCCACCCACCGACCGCCACCCCCTTACCTGCACTACACCTCATAGCTGATTTTCGGCGGGTTTGAGGCCTTTTTCAGCCTCCCAAAGGCTTGAGGAAGGCTTCTGCAGGCTTTGCAGGCCGAAAACTAGCCCCATTTTGTCACTTCTGGTATTTTCGGAAAAACAGGAAGTGATGAAACAGGGCTAGTTTTTGGCCTGCAAAGCCTGCAGAAGCCTTCCTCAAGCCTTTGGGAGGCCGAAAAAGGCCTCAAACCCACCGAAAATCAGCGGTGAGGCGCGCACATGTGCAGTGAGGTAAGTTTGCCTGCAGCTCGCGTGCCGGCACAAATGGCTCTGCGTGCCACCTGTGACACACGTGCCATAGGTTTACCATCATGGGCCTAGGACATAAAACATTTGTAAAACACTGAATTCCAGAAGAAGATAGGAATTATCTTTAGAATCATATAACATTCATTCCTTCAATTATCAACCATGACTAGCAGCAGGATAGAACCATATGCAAGGATTTTTGTCCATCTGAGTGTGGTATAAAAACATCTTTACTGTACATTCTGATTTATAACCAGATTCTGATTTCCAAAAATTACAAGCTGAAGCAAAATGATATTTTAAACAAGTAAAAATTGTGTGAGACATGGAAGAAAGTCATGTTACAACTATAACCATGCAGTATGCTGTTTTTGGGGTTTTAGAATGGAAAATCTCTATATCAATCGTTTCATGCATATGTTCCAATCCTCTTGGAGTGACTTCGCAGATTTTGAGAAGATCTTTGTCAAAATAAGTAATACAATATCTGGTGAGTTTTGATCATTGTTGATAACTTGCATTAAAAAATGAGTTATATATAGTTCAAATTTTAAGGCACTGGTATAATAAAATCAGTCCCAAACCTGATGCCTACAGATCTGATAAACACATTTGTCAATTTTTGTTAGCTTAATACTTAAAATCACAGAGAAACACAATTAAAAGCAACTGTAATTTATAGAAATTTATGTTTTATTTCTAAATTTGATTATTTCAAAACTTCTTATATCTGAGGGCAATTATAGAATCTTAGGTGAATGTTAGATGCAATTAATAAAGTCTATGGATATGGGAATTCACAAAATAGTTTTCATATGGATAAGCCTATTGGTAAAGTTATCATAACATATAAAAGGGCAGACAAATGCCTATAATTATATGCACATTACAAATAATTTTAATAAAACAGGATAGAGTCCTCCAGCCTACCAAACTGAAATATATAAATAAAATACTTACTGAGCCCATATTGAAATAGTTCTAATATGAGCAAACTACATATCGTGCTACAGTCTGTACCACACCTTGGATGAATGTTAGGGAGCTATTTCATTCTCATCACATATTAAAATCAGGAATATCCATAACATTGCTATATAAACAAAGTTTAATTTTATGCCAAGCATTGATAATAATCATATCTTTGTTGTCCATGATTTCGGTTCATTTATTATTTTTGACATATCAAACCAAGCCATCAGATTCTAGCTTGGTTATTGATCTTACTCTTTGGGCATGAATGGGTTTTCCAGTTGCAGAGACTTTTTAGTGGTTCAAGACATGTCACTTTATTTTACACAATACTTATATTATTAAAGTAAAAAAGATCAATTACATTTTTGTAATTTATTTTCACACAGTGAAATGAACAAAACTCATTCTGCAGAATACAACAATTGATATCATATAAACTTAAGGAATTGATGTATCTTTCACATCTTTGCTGGTGTAACATATAATCTTCTTACAAATTTCTGCAAAAATCATATACTGGTGAAATTCAGTATTTTATTTTATAAAGCTGGAAGGTACTACCATTGTTTTATTATGGATAGAATAGAATAACAGAGTTGGAAGGGACCTAGGAGGTCTTCTAGTCCAACTTCCTGCTTAGACAGGAAAACCTACACCACTTCAGACAAATGGTTATCCGATCTCTTCTTAAAAACAGTGTTGGAGCATTCACAGCCTCTGGAGGCAAGTTGTTTCACTGATTAATTGTTCTGTCAGGAAATTTTTCCTTAGTTCTAGGTTGCTTCTTTCCTTGATAAGTTTCCACCTATTGGTTCTTGTCCAATCCTCAGGTGCTTTGGAGAATAGCTTGACTCACTCTTCTTTGTGGCAGCCCCCTGAAATATTGGAAGACTGCTATCATGTCACCCCTAGTCCTTCTTTCCATCAGACTAGACAGACGTACCCAGTTCCAGCAAGCGATGGGCTGGCGGTAGTGGGCAGCGGCTCAGGAGTTGGGGACCCCTGCTCTAGATGAAGGAGAGTCTTAGGATCATTTTCATATGGCTGCTCCCCATGATGGGATTGTAAGCAGTGGACTTCAGTGGGTTGTAAATTTTGGGAGCCAGGAGAGTTTGCTTTGTTGTGGTTTGTAGCTTTTAAAAGGGACATCAAGTTTGCTCATTTCCTTTTTTAATTGGTTTCATTGGTGTTGTGAATCAATAAAAAGTAACTAAGCCCAAATGCAAAGCGGGTTTTGAAAGCCTGCACACCTGATTGGTCCTTAAACAATGAACAAGGATTGGTCCATAACAAGTCCCTGATTGGCCAATATTAGGACACTTATTGGGTATTAGTTGAACTTGTTGCACATATTATTGGTTAATAGAGTAGCAGCCAACCCTATAAAAGGGTTACTGCTGCCCATAGCCTTGCTCTGTTCTGTTCTATCTACTGTTATTAAAGAGTTGAAGTCACTGGTCAGATGTCTGGTCTCCATTATTCTCCAAACTTAACACTGGCGACGAAGGTGGGATGCGGAGACCGAAGAGCTGACTGATCTACAGAGCAACCAACAGAGCACGTGGTTGAACACGCACTATCAATGGCAACATGGCCAGCGGTGCCGTACCACCCGCTCCATTCGACCCAGAAACCGAAGACTGGGAGTCGTACATGGATAGGTTCCAGATGTTTCTGGAGACCAACAACTTGAAAGATGCAACAGCCAGCAAAAAAAGAGCTGTATTTCTAACCCACTGCGGGCCTACTGTGTTTAAAATGGCAAAATCACTTGCCAAGCCAGCCGAAGTAAAAGCGATGGACTGGGACGTCCTCGAGCCTTTGCTACGGGCCCACTACGCGCCCACCGTGCCAACCTTAGTCAGAAGGCATGAATATTACCAGAGGGTCCAGCAGAAAGGCGAAAGCCTTGCCAACTACGTCGCAGACCTCCGTAACCTTGGAGGCCTCTGCGGATTCTCTAACTTAGAAGAAGCCCTCCGAGACCGCCTAGTTCTGGGCCTAGAAGACTGCACGATCCAGAGCAAAATCATGGCTAAGAGGGACATCAGCCTCACCGATGCCCTTAAAGAAGCCATTGCAGCAGAAGCAACCAAGAAGTCGGCAGCCTGAATACGCCGCACCAGCGCACCGCTACGTCAACTCGCCAATGATACCTCGCCTCGCTCAGAGAGACACCCGGTATCGACTCACCACGAAGACCTAGAATCCCCGTCAGAAAGTGATGAGGAAGAGGTCAACCGACTCCAAACGGAACGAGACCAGTTCACACAACGCTCACTTCGACCTTGTGCAGGATGTGGAGCGAATCACCCACGATCCAGCTGTAAATTCCTCAACGCACTCTGCCGCGTTTGCGGGAAAAGAGGTCACATCACAAAGGTTTGCAGAAGCAAACAAAACTCCAACTCCAAACCCCGACAGGCCGAATGCCAGTCTTCAGGATTCATCGGCACACCCCGAGACAAACTGAATCACCAATGGGGAAGCCACTCCTACAGAAACAAACCGTCCACCACTTCCACCAGGCGGGAAGAAACCAGGCGGGAAGAGACCCACCAGACAATTACCATAGGCCACGCTACATCCCTAGATGCCGGGAAAATCAGAGTGAAGGTCGCTATCGAAAACAAACCTTGTGTGATGGAGGTGGACTCAGGATCATCCCTCTCGATGGTGTCCTGGAAGACGCTCCAACAGCTCGTTCCGACGATTCGCCGCCAAGACCTCAACCCTCAAAGGGTTATACTCAAAGATTACCAGGGTAACCGAATTCCCGTTGTCGGGTCCCGCCGATTCCAGGTCTCTTTCAAGGACCGCACCGTCGCACTGCCACTGACTGTCGTTGACCGTGACCGGCCTAGTCTTTTAGGCCTGCAATGGTTCAGACCGCTCGGAATCACTGTAGCCGGAGTCCACCGTGCCGAGAGCAACGATTGGGAGGAAGCCCTCGTGCAAGAATTCCAAGACGTTTTCGCGAACGGACTAGGCAAGTACAAGGGGACCCCGATCTCATTTAACTTGAACCCTGAGGTAGCACCCATCCGCCTTAAGCCACGTCGGGTGCCATTCGCCCTGAAACCTAAAATCGACGAACAACTCGATAAGCTAATAGCACAGGGCGTGCTGGAACCCACCGACCACGCCCGGTGGGAAACCCCAATAGTGACGCCTATCAAGCCTGATGGGTCACTGAGAATTTGCGGAGACTACCGGGCCACCCTAAACCACGCACTTCAGCAAAGTGCATATCCAGTGCCGGTAGTGCAACACCTGCTCCATTCCCTGGGCGGCGGGAAAGTTTTCGCTAAATTAGACCTAGCGCAGGCGTATCAACAATTGCCTGTAGATCCGGCCACCGCGGAGGCGCAAACTATCGTCACGCATAGGGGCGCATTTAAATGCAACCGGCTCCAGTTCGGGGTGAGCGTCGCTCCAGGAATCTTTCAGAGCTTAATGGAAAGGCTGTTACAAGGAATAAGAGGGGTCGTACCGTATTTCGACGATGTACTCATCGCCGCCCCTAACAGAGACATTCTAGAAAAACGACTCCGAATGGTCTTACAAAGGTTCCAAGACGCCGGCCTCAAAGTCAAAAAAAAATAAATGCCAGTTATGTACCGAAAGGGTGGAGTTCTTGGGATACCTCCTGGACAGTCAAGGAATCCATCCCACTGAGGACAAATTAAAGGCAATTAAGAAGGCCCCCACTCCAAGGAACAAGGCAGATCTACAGGCGTTCCTTGGACTTATCAATTTTTATAACGTCTTTTTACCCAATAAAGCAACGGTAGCTGAACCATTACATAGACTCTTAGACAAAAAAGCAACGTGGGTTTGGGGACAACGTGAACAATACGCTTTCCAACTAGTAAAGAAATTGCTAACTTCTGATTCTGTACTTATGCAGTACAACGAGACTCTGCCGTTAACTATTACCTGTGACGCCTCACCTTTTGGGGTTGGAGCAATCCTGGCCCACGTATTACCGAACGGAGCAGAAGCTCCCGTCGCGTTTTTTTCGCGAACTTTAGCTAAAGCTGAAAGAAATTATAGTCAGCTGGATAAAGAAGCTTTAGCTATTGTGGCTGCAGTTAAACGATTTCATGAATATGTGTATGGGCGTGCGTTTACAATAATTACTGATCATAAACCACTACTGGGGATTATTGCGGGTAATAAACCAACCCCGTATATATTGTCCCCCAGAATGACCCGCTGGTCTGAATTCTTGGCGGCGTACAACTACACCTTGCAACACCGCCCGGGGAAATCAATTCTCCACGCTGATGCATTGAGCAGAACACCACTCCCAGAATCGGTTGAAGATCCAGCCCCAACCATCAAAACGCTGCAAATTGAGGCTCTACACGCGCCGCCATTGACGGCGAGAGACATTGCCCTCGAAACAAAATGAGATCCGGTCCTGCAACACATCCTACGCTGGGTTGAACGTGGTTGGCCAACAGAACAACTATCACCTGAATGAGCGCCTTTCAAAGCCCGCCAAACCGA